GTTCATCTACATCAGTCAACAGAAAATAGATTTTTTCTTCTAAACTAGATTGATGCAGTTCGATTAACAAAGGCATGATGAATCTACTTCTAGGTTCCTGATTTAATTTGCAATGTAATAAGTAATGGATCAGATCTTCCACCTGTGAGTTATTACAAATGCATAAACAGTGTGTAGTTGGTAATCTTCTGTATCTTCCATCCAAATAGGCTGTTGGCACTGTTTGGATAGAGAGTTCTGTGAAAGCATGTCTCAGGAAATGGGATATAAGACACTGTAAATAATATGACATTTCTTGTCCATCTTTAAAAGATCGATACCACTTGGCCAACTTAAGCTTACATACCTGCTCTTTATCTTGTCTAAAATCTTTAAAAAATAAGTAGTCCCTCAATAGTATATGATAATTTATGTCATTCAACCATTCCTGATCTAGCAATAATTGTGAGAATAGTTTTAGACACAAATTCATCCATCTGTTACTCTAAAATTCTTTGTGGAGGCATTGTTTTGCCAAATAAGTATTGGGCATGATGACTAGTCTCCTATAATATAAGATTATTGCTTTCTTTACCCTTATATTAATTGATGGAAGACCTACTTCTAATTTCAACATTGCAGCTGGTGTACATGGGGGTAAGGTAAGGGGGTAATTGATCTCACAAATTTATCTGGACCACTTCTAATTCTTCTAGTTTACTGAAACTCCAAATTGGGGCCCCATGTATCAACTGTGGCCTCTGGAAAATCTTAAGCACAGGCTGTACGTACTAACCTTCCTCCTTTTGAGTAGAAGAAGGAACAAATGGCTATCATTGATCTTATGGCTGTTGTTCTTGTTGATGCTATTTGTGTTTTCCATGATAGTGTTTCAGTAAACTGGATACCCAAATACTTAAATGACCTCACTTGTTCTATCTCCTTACCATCTAGTGTCCATCTATGTTTCTTTGGTCTTTTAGCAAATACTACTGCCATGGTTTTGGAATAATTTATCTGCAAGTATTCTTTCCTAGAGTAAGTGCCAAATTCTGTCAGGATTCCTTTCATTCTAATTAATGTTGTTGACATGAGTACCATATCATCTGCATACAGTAATATAGGAGCCTTTCTACTTCCAACTGATGGGGCATAAAAGAAAGGGTTATTAAACTCTTCTGCAATGTTGTTTATATAAAAATTAAAGAGGAAGGGAGCCAGTATGCTGCCCTGGCGGACACCTTTTGTGGTTTTAATCTGCTTTGTTAGGTAGCTGCTCTGGTTTATCCATACTTGCTTGTAAGTGTCTTCATATAATTTATATATTAGGTAATCTATCTATATCAGTAGCTGGTGTGCCCCATATGCTGTAGTACACCCTACATTCTAGGGCTCTTCTGTTCCCCCAAAGGAATTCTTTTGCAATATATTGGAACATGTATACAGGCCCACTTTTCAAATAATTATAGCAACCACAACATTTGTAAGGCTTTGGAAGCATCTCCTGGGCTGTCTTCCACTGAAGCCCCCGCCCCCCCGAATCTTGGCAATGATGCGGCTGCTTTAACAATTTGAAGAGAGGTGCTTCATACGCACATGTTGCGGTGCACCTCTTTCAAAGGCTTTGTGTAGTCCTACTGTACAATTTATGTACTATATTGTATAAAACATCAGAAGGAAATCGAAGCTTAAGGACTTGTTATTACAAAACCAAACATCTAATACTAATTTGCAGTATGAACTTGTAAATGCTTCTTAAATATAAAGGGAAAGAGGACAGAGGAAAACAGTAATTTGGCATTCATTATTTTTCTCTGGAATTCAGTAGTGAGTCAAACATATGCACTTCTATAATCACATTTTGCTTTCATCTGTGCCTATCTGCTACATCTTCATAAATTTCTATAAAATTGCAATCCATCTCCTAAAATCTATCAGGAACTGGAGAGCATTTTCATCACTTTAAGGGCCCTGAGGGTGGCAAAGGGCAATCCCATGGCCAAAAATCCTCCTGCTACAATAAAAATTACTATTCTCTTTGCCATCCTTCTCTGTCACCTACAGCAAATCAAAGAGCACTTGCAACAAAGGTAGATAGTTGGGAAAGAGATCGTTGGAGATCTGACATAGGAGAGATGGGTTCCAGATTAATCCCGCATGATCCTAATTCTTAAGAAACCTCCAGATGTTTTTATAAAGTCATTTGTTGCACCACTCCACACAAAAGCAGTATTACTTACAGTATTCTCTAAATTATAAATCCAGAAGATCCTGTGATCCAGGCAAAGATCAGCAGAATTGGATTTATGGAAAGATATGTCGAATACCAAAAATTGCAGTCCCAATCTAGCTTGAAATATGAGCTGTAAAAAATCAGCCAGAAATATGTTTGTTAGACAACCTGCCAGATTCAGCTACAATGGGCAGGCAGGCAATTTTAACCCTGGATCAGTCATTTAGTTTGACTGCTAATGGATTAATGTACTAATGGATTCTCAAAGCTAGGGAAGGATTTGCCTACCTCCAGATCTGAGGCAGGACAACTGGACACATTTCTCTGCAACTCTTGATATCTGGCTGGATAGGGAAAGCAATATTACCGGAGACTGAAAGCTCTAAACATATTGTGCCATAGACATGGGCACCGGTGATGGAGTTCCAACTCACCCCCGCAGCACACACGAACAATCTGGGACTCTCCACCCACCCCTGTTTTCAAGCAGCATTTAGCAATGTCACTGAGCACCAGCACCATTTAAACTCCCATGATCCGTCCCCTCAGAAAAGTAATAGAGAGGCAATTTGTTATGTAGAGACCTGCTGGTGATGAGAAGCAATCATAATCAATTGTGGCAGTTTGCAGTAACAGCTTTTCCTTTGTTGTCAATGGGGAAATCAATAAGGAATGTTCAGAGTGCAGGTGGGGATAGAAACATATTAGTTCGCAGGAGGCTGTGAGTTTATTTTTTTTAAAAGAATTACTTTTTAAAATTGAACTTTCTATAATAGAAACTGACTTTTTGGCTTTTAAGAGAATGTTATTCCCTGCCCCTATCCCCCCCCTTTTTTTTTTTAAAGAAAAAGACTCTACTAAGTCAGATTTGATTTCTGGTGACTGCATGAACATATTCATGCAATTTTCCTGGCAACAGTACAGAAACAGTGCTTTACGTGCGTTGGTTGGCTTTTTCAGCCTAGTCCACAGCACTAGAATTTCTGATGGTCTCCCATATGGACACAAACTGAATCCTATCCTGCTTAGCATTTTTCAAGCTCAGTTGCCACCTGAGGTGGTCAGACTCAGTGGAGGTACGGCTATGGTGACTTACTGTACATGAGCATTGCTACCATAGTCTTGACGTTTCAGCCGATGCAGACATTACACATAAGACACGCATACTCAAAACTGATTCTCATGAAGTATTGTATGAGTCCAAAAAGAAGAATGATTGTCAATTCAACTTAAATTCAGGAATTTAAGGTGGGTCATAGCAACTGTTGCATGCTGCTCACTGCCTACTATAACAAAAAACCAGTAGCGCATGTTCATGTAGTAGAAAAAGTACCCACCTTTCCAGGGTATTTCAGTGTTTGGTATTGTGTTCTCACATTTCATAAAAGCACCGATGTTATTGTCATTATATTAGGTGCCAAAGGATCAATAAAGTTACATGAGGGCATCTGATTTCTAGAGGTAAATGCTACAAAACTTTGACCTAATCTTCAGTCTTTTAAGTGTAGATGATCAAGAATATGGAGCACTGTTGAATACATACTACTTCAGAATAGACCAGTGAACTCATGCAAAGAAAACAAGTCCTTGTGCATTTTTAATGCATTTTGAACAAAAATAGGACATCCAGCAACTTCTCCACCCTGCAGGGCATTGACCCATCTGTCTAAACAGTCTAAGTACTTGGGTCAAAGGAAGAAAAAGTGGTGAGAAAGAGGGGGAAACTCTCCCTTCTGTCTTGACCTGTGTAAAGTCAGCAGTACACAAGAAATGGCAATGCTTCCATTATGGATGTTCTCCCAGCTTCTTTGACACTGTTCTGCTTAGAAAATAGGGAAGTGTCATGACAGCATAGAGCATATATAAATTGGTCTCCTGGACTAAGCTACACTGAAGATGCCAGTTGCCAAAATGATAGCATTACAAGAAAAAG